GGGAGGTGGAGGTCTTGGTACGGGCGCGCGCGTCTGGGCAAACTGCCGCAGCCAGTCTGGGGAATAGGACCTAGGGCGTAAGAGAACACGAACGAGGGCATGGAGTACGGCATCGGGAAAGGGCGGGAAGCAGACATGCACCAAGCCCACGCGCCGAGAGGTGGTCGATGCCCTGGGGTAAAAGGGCGTTTCGGCGCCGGCGTCTATGCATAATCCCACGCCCAAAGGAAACAAAACACAGAGCAATGGGTCCCGCGGAGGCGGGCGGCGGCGGCGGCGGCAAGCATAGACGCCGCAGTCCGTCGTCCGCGGGGAGGAGGGAAGACAGCAACGACACATGGGCCGCCGCCGTCGTGCTCGCCATCGGACTCGTGATTTCTGAAACGACATCGCCGAAGGGCATGGGGTCAGGCGTGCTGCGTCCCAAGGTAGGGGAGCCCTGCCGCCCAACGAACGAAGAGCCTCCTCTGTCTCCGCGGGGTGCCGACCGCACCGACCACGAAAATCGGCGATTAGAAACGGTTCGGCGACGGGGAAGAGGATGGGGGCCAGGGGAGGGCCCAGGCAGTCGGCACCCTAAGGCAAGGCGAGGCAGAGGCAGAGGGGGCACGTACAATTGTCAAGAGGTGTGCAGCACGGACGACGAGGGCAGATGAGGAAGGTCGGGGAATGGCGATGGACACATGTCGGCAGCGGACGGGCTGGCGTTGAGGCTCGTGCGGGAGTGCCGGACGCACGTCCGCCTCGCTCGTTGACGACGGCCGTTGAACGGGGAATTGGGATCAGCCACACACACATACGATGCAGTACACCCCTCCCCCTCCTTATGAGGATTCGCAAGCGGCGGTGATAGAGTTTCTGAGAAGGCACATCGCCGACTGAGTTGGCCAGTGCTTCACCCTCTCCTCTGGCCGACGGCGATAACGACAACGAGAGACAGCCCGACACAGAAAAGAGGCAGAGAGGACGAGGCTTTGAAGCGCATGAGCCACGTTGTGGCCTTGTCTATTCTTCCTTTCCCAATGACGACGCAACGCCCACCCCTGCTGCTGCACCGGCGTGCGAGGTATCTGATTCTGATGCATACACGCCTTGCCCATCCCTAACCGTCCCATCCCTCGTTTTTGAAGACATTTTAACCCTGGACGTTGTATTGTTGCTCTGTGCCCTAAGAAACAAACGCTGAGAGAGGAAGCAACGAACTTCGTCCCCGCAGACGGCCACTTAACCTTAACACCCCACCGGGACCGCGTGAGTGAAAGTAGGTAGTCGGGGCATCTCCCGCACAACCAAATTTCCGTCGCATCCCGCGCACGACACGCACACGCCCCCCTCCCCCCCTTCCCGTCCCGACTAAGCTTAATCCTGAATCTGGAGTTCGTCCATGTCGTCGAGGAGCTCATCCATGTCGACCCTCGGCGCCTCGTCATCGTCCTCCGTCTCGGCGATGGACATCGCATCGGGGTCGGCGGGCTTGTTGGCCTTCTGGGCGCGGTAGATAGCCATGGTGGAGCGGAACTCGTCGTCCTCCTCGACGTCGCGGAGGAACTGCTCGTACTCCTCGTCCATGCGCTCCTGGTCGGCCTTCTTGGGGAGCAGCTCGCCCTCGTCCTTGGCCATGCGCTTGAGCTTCCAGTTGCGGGTGCGCGTCTTCCTCTTGCGCGCGTAGTGCTTCTTGACGAGCACGACGTCGGGTATCGTCGAGCCGTACGCGTGCGACTCCTCGATGGCGTCGAACTCTGGGTTGTTGAAGTTGGTGCCCGTGAGCATGTAGCCCATCACCGAGTCGCCCGCGTGCAGCAGCCCGCCGAGGTGCGTCCTCGCGAAGTACGTCTTGTCGTTGACGCCCAGGTCCGCCGCGCGCATGACTTGTACCTCGCCGAGCTGCCACTTGCCCCTCGACACGCCTGTCGGCTCGATGTCCATGACGATGAACTCGACGAGCGACTTCGCGTCGGCGAGCGAGTTGAATGGCGCGCGCCAATAAATGTCTGAGGGGATGCTTGCTGTCTGGAGGGTGTTTGTGTCGAGGAGGTATACTGCGGTGCCGATCTTGTGGCAGATGACGAGGGGAGAAATGTTGCCCAGGGACTTGGCCAGCTTGATGGGCATGGCGACAAGGTCGTCACGGCATATGGGGATAAGCTCGGCCGAGAAGGTGAACTTGTATGACTTTGTGGACGTGTGGATGTCCTGAGAAATAAGCTCCTGCGCCTTCTTGACGCGGCAGGGGGCCACAGAGTTGAGAAAATCAACAAACTTCTCGGCCTGATTCCTTGCGGAGAAGAAGAAGTCGATTCCGTCCTTGGCCTCCTTGATGTTCAGGGTATCTCTGTGCGCTCCGTGCTTCATAATCAACTGCTCGAGGTAGAGGAACGTCCTCTTGTGCAGAACCTTTTGTCTGACCTGGACGCAGGCGCGCCAGACGTTGGCCGTGTACGACTTTGCGCAGTCGGGACATTGTTGGTATGCGACGATGAAGACGGCCTCGAAGGACTGCTGGAGGAGAACGCCGCTCTGGACCTCGTCCTGGATGGTGATCTTGACCTTTACTCGTCTCGAGTGCGGCTCGGTCCACACAAACGAGGCGTCGATGATACGGACCTTGTGCAGGCCCTTGAGCTTCTTCAGGCAGAGCGCGAGCAGCTCGCGGGATTCGGGGGCGGCGACGATCCAGCTGGTGGGCGGCAGAAGCCAGCGGTCGCAGTCTCGGCAGAAGTTGAGGGTGGCCTCGCGCTGGACGCCGTTGGAGATGTCGACGGTCAACTTGATGCAGTCGAAGCAGAGAGCGTTGGCGGCGGTGGTTCCGTCGATGGGGGCGCCGCAGTTGCAGCAGAGAATCGTGGCGGCTGTCATTTTGTTTGCGCTTCTCCCTCGATGCCCCTGTGTGTTTTGTTAAGATATTGCAAAAATGGGAGGGCGGCAGCCGGGGTTGATGGGATTTTGGGCTGTCGTATGGCGGGGTTGATCGCAAAATCCAAAAATTTCTAGCGATAAGCAATGGAGGGGTTGCTTATCATCGAGTCTGAGTCACGTGCGCAAGCTTTTTTCTCCGTCCCTTGCTGCATCCATGGTGGCGGCATTAGTAATCGGGCCTCCCACCGGTAGCGTCATTGCTGTCACACAGCGTGCAGAAGCGCCTGGAGGACCGGGGTTAGGGGAACTGACTTGACAGCATTTTATCAGCTGTTTGTCATCGAAGAATGCACAGCGGAAACCGTGACAAATTATCGGATAGGAATTATTCTTTTTGAACCGCGAGATTGAAAACTCATGACTGATCGCTGGGCTCATAGTGACTCAAGTTAACTACAGCTAAGCATGCTATTCCGAAACCCATTGGACGCCACCGAATGCTGTGATACCCAGGGAAAAAAGCCATGATCAGTCCAACGACGAGTGACCGTCAGCAAAACCACCAAAAACAGGCAAAAAAAGACTGCCCCTCCACTCCAACCCAGCGATCCGGATCACCGCCCCCAATACCACTGCAAGTCAGACGCTTGGCCATCCCTTTCCCACCCAAACCCAAGCTGCCGCCAGCGGCAGAGCAATGCGTGTAAAGAAAAGAAGGAAAAATGAAGGACTCAAAGGATTCAGGTTCCAAAAATTGAGTGTGTGTTGGAGAGCCGCCAGGTCTCCAACCCAGCCGCCAAATTTCGACTCAGGAGAGTCAAGTTCCAAAAATTGAGTGCGTTGGTGAGCCCCCCCCTGAGCCCCCAACGCAGAAAGTAGACGACGACGACGACGACGTCGTGGGCCGCGCCCCGCGCAGCCCATGGGCCCCGGCCCCCAAAGTCCTATGAGAAGATCAGTGATCGAGGAGCAAAAGATTGTGCCGCCCCGAGACAGGACGAGTCCCTGTCTGCAGGCATCCGAGCCAATGTGCAATGGCCGGGACTTGGTCGAGGGCCCCAGCATTCTTGAGCGAAGGGACCCGACGCGGCTTGGGACGTGGTTCGGGAATCCGGTCCATGATGTGCAAAAGAAGAAGAAATGGAGGTTGAGGAAGATGGTCTGGGGATTATATAGACATGGGAGGGGGACAGCAATCAGTGACCCTCATGTCCCAGGGACGTCGTCTGGGAAGGGACGTCTTTCCATAAAGGCAGTCACTGGGCCTGGTGTTGCCGAAATCGAGCACCTTCTTTCCTGGCGTGAAGGAAGCAGCCGGCATGTCGGGAAAGGACGCAGGCCGGGTGAGGGAGGTGCCAGGCTTTGCACTTGCCCGAATCCAAGAACGTTCCTTCGTCGGTTACCTTACGGAAGGTAGGTATCAAGGGTAAATGCATTTGGCAGGAAGGAGATGGTGCGACAACCCCATGGGTTATGACCTGATCGGAAGGAGGTTCCTGCTAGTTGTGTAAGCCAAGCTTTTACCCGGCGAGCTGCATGTCAGCGCGACTGTCTCTTTCCACTCGAGGATACAGAAAGTAGCATCCGTCTACCGCCCCTCCCAGATTGTCTCCGATGTGCCCCGGAAGACATGTGGCAGGTGCTGACCGTTGATGGGAACTTTGGGCAGCGGTGAAGAGAGAATCGTCGGCGAGTTTGCTGCCTGCATGAAGACGCTGCTGCTTCCGCCGCTGATAGCAAATAGCATTCTCGGTTGGGACTGGTGTTGAAACTCATCAGTAGAAATGATAGAGAAGATGGTTTTTGGACTTGCATAAGTTGAATGGTAGGCTGTTGAACGGTTTCCCTTCGTCTCGTGGTGAGGTCGCATCGCCAAGTAGAACTAGATTAATGACACTGACATTCGCGGGAAATGGGAAGATGGCCCAGTGGTCAATACATTTTTGATCACTTTCAGAAGCTGCGCAAGAGCAGGTTGTTTGACCATGTCTATTGTGCTCATGAGTATGTAGTGGTAACCATCACAGCCCAGGTCATCTTCACTTCGTATCCAGGCATCTTCGCAAATCATTCGTCTTAGTTTAGTCTCAGGGGTATAGCTGCTCAAATCTTAGAACAGAACTCTTCATCGCACAGGCAGCAATTCACTTGCCATTCTCTCCATTCTCCCCGTTCTTCTTCGCGTCCCCATTCTTCTGCCCAACCGGCCCGACAATCTGCTTCGCCTGCTGCAGATCCATCGCCATCATGCCGAGGTGCAGCACATCCGCCGACATCGAGATCAAGCTCATGCGCTTCGCCGCCTCCTGCAGCTTCTCGGGGCTTCCGTACGGCGGCGTCGCGAACGCGAAGCCCGCGTACGGCTTGTCGTGCTTGTCCATCGTCTCGAAGAAGAGCTTCTGGATCTCGAGCCACTCGGGCTCGTCCTGCGGGCCGCCCATGTTGGCCGGCAGGTTCATGCTCACGCGCGCGTCGAGCGAGCCGAGCCAGACGACGTCGATGTCCGGGCACTGCGTCAGGATGTCGTCGAGGTTGCGCACGCCCTGCGCCGTCTCGATCTGGATCATCACGGCGGCCTGGTTGTTGACGCACTTGTGAATGTCCGACTTGGGGTCGTACGGCGTGTCGGTGAGGAAGGGGATCAGCCGGAAGGGCGGCGCCGAGCGCGTACCGTTCTGCTTGGTGCCGTACTTGGCCGCCGAGAGGACGTGCTTGGCCTCCTCGACCGTCTCGACCTGCGGGACGACGATGGAGGCGCCGCAGTCGAGGGCGTAGCCGATGGCGGCGTGGTCGTGGCCGGGGACGCTGGAAGGAAGGAGGGTCAGCACTAGGGATGCCTGAGGTTGCGGCGGGCCGCGCGTGGGGGAGGGGCAGTGGTGGACTTACCGAACAAAGGGGATGGTACGGCCCTGGCTCATGAAGATGGCTTCGTGGACCATCTAAGTTGTGTTAGTGTTGTTGATTAATATGCCTTTGGGGATGAGTGTGAACTTACAGATGTCATTGTCTCAACGTTGCAGGAAGTGTGCTCCCAGTCGATCCATACGGCATCGTAGCCCATGGGGGCGAGGAATCGTGTAATGGGAAGAGAGCTGAGGCCAGCATAGTAGCACATCAATGGGGGAATCTTCTTCTCGTGGGCATCGCGGATGGCTTGGCGAGCCTTGTGAGGTTGGAAGAGCGAGGGCGCGGCGTACGCGTTCATGCCCTGCGCGGCAACGTTCTTGTATTCCTCGCCCATGACTGACATTTTGGCTGGATTTTGAGGTGAGTTTGGAGATTGGATGATTAGATAGGCGCTTATCAGGACTTGTGAGAGAAGGACTGAAGACGAGGGAAGATGGGGGCCATCAGCAGCAAGAAAGGCCAGCTGGAAGATGATCTTTTATATGCTGTTGGTGCCTGAGATGTCACATTGCATCTGTGGACCGTCAAACCAAAAGTCCCAGGGTCTCCCGCATTTGCCCAGGGTCCCTCCACAAATGGCGATAATACCGCGGGGTTCGGACGCGGACGGATTGCCCATGCCGGTCCTCATCCACCGTGGAGCGTGTCGTTGCTGAATGAGGCCTAAGTCATCGACAGTCCTGCGTGGACAGGGGACGTCGGTCCAGCGCACGATGGATGCAACGATGCAGCGTCCCACTCACGATACTCTCACGTCAGCTAACAAGGGACCTTGGTGAGAGCCGCACGGGCTTTACAAGCAGTGTTTCTGAGCCATGTAATTCTTGTTTGATTCGATTGTATACCGAAAGCGGCGAGCTGTAGGGCAAGCCGACGGGCTTGATAGGGCGAGGTACTAAAAAAGGATCATTAAGGAGAGCTGCCGATGCGGTCCTCTCCCCCGCTGCCTAGATGTAGCGCGTCGGCGGCGCAGCAGCGATGCACCGAGCTTGAAGGTAATTGCTTCTTGGGATGGAATGCGGGCCGACTGAACGGGCGCCAAAGGATTGCTTGCGCGGATGTAAGGCCTAGAGACCAATATCAAGAAGCGATGACAGAGGTGACATGGCCTAGTCATCGCGCTAAGCGGTAGGTCTTACCATGACGACACGCTTCAAGGCACAGCGAAAGCCAGTTAATTTCTTCTTTTGTTTGTATGCGACCATCTCAGAAAATATCCCACAAGGAAATCTTGCCGTCCTTACTCCCGGCAGCCAGCCAGTGGGCGGATTGAGCTTGAAGAATGCGCCTGTCCTTGACGCTCAACTGCCCTGAACGGGACACGAGGTCGCGGGGCGGCTCCTCTTCTTGCTGCTGTTGCTCGCTTGGAGCATCCCGACCGTGTGTAGTGCTGGCGCCGACATTGGCAAGGGCGACAGCAAAGCATCCCACTTGGTGCCACTTGAGGGTCGCCACCTCCTTCAGGGTCTTTGATGAATAGACGCGTACCGTGGAATCCCAGCCTGCGGTCGCAAAGATACGACCGTCGTCGCGGACGCGCAAACCTTGTTGGCCTGAATGCTTGGTGTTTGAGATCTTAACCGGTTGCTGTACGACGGACTGGTCGTCCACGCCGGAGTTAGGGCGCGGGATGGGGTGCTTCGCTACGACGGCGTCCGCACCGGAGGTAAGAAAGTAGGATCGATCCGCGGCGACGTCGAGGGAGAGGACAGGTTGCTGGTGGACCCTCGACAAGTAAACGGTGTTCCACGTTCCGCCGGCGGCGAGCTGCAGGACCGTTGCCAAGCCGTTCTCGTAGGCGGCAACGAGGGTGAGGACACCGCGATTGGCAGACGATGAGCCTGCAGACTCGGCTCCGTCGACGTACAGCAGGGCCAGGGCCATGACCATACCGTTCTTATCACTGGCTTTCACCGTGTGCAGTCGCTTATGCGATGGTAACTCGTAGACGTCGACCTGCGCCCGCGGCCGTCGGGTTAGGGTCCGGGACGATTCTCATGCAGGGCAGCGAGATGGGCTGGGCAGAGCCGGGCTTTAGAGCCGGAGATAGAGGGCGAGGGGACTCACCGATTCCGAGGCTAGGGTGTTGGGCACCGCTAGCAGCATGCCCGTGGTCTCGGACCCGTCGCCGGTTCGTGGCACACAGGATGCGAATGAGCAGAAATTCATCGTGTTGACGTCAATGGTGTGAAGAATTTGTGGCTGTGGTCTAGACTCTGGCGCCTCGTCGAGAGGTAGCTTCTGACTGAGACGAACCTCATCGTCGCGGCCGAGCTGCCAGACGACCAGCCTGTGATCGCGACCGTGGCTGGGAGAGTGTCAGAGAATCGCACGCACCGCGGTTCTTCAAAAAGACACTCACGTAATTATACGATCGTGTCCCCACGCCTGGATGCCGAGAATGGCGTTCTCGTGCGGTCTCCAAACGACAGTCGGCCGCCTGGTGGTGAGGTCCCAAAGGACGACGAAGCCCTCAGCATCACCGCTGGCCAGACGCTCATTGCCGCGGACGAAGGCAAGTGCATGTACCTGGGCCTTGTGTCCTCGCAGGATGGACTTTGGTTGTGGCGCAGCGTCTCCCATCGCTTCCGAAGTGCGATCACCCTCGTCGGATGGGAGGAGAGGTCGCGACGGTTGATGTGGTGTTGCAGTTGCAGCCTGAATGGGTTTGTTTGATAGCGGAAGGTGGAAAAAACAGCAGTTGCCTATCAAACACCGTGCAGCCGGAAGAATGCACCGTGTGCTGCATTTACAGTGGTGTCAATTACAGCACCACACCGTTAAGTTCGATGTTCTTCACAGTGCGTGCAGTGCTACTGGTCTATCGAGGCAATCCTTCGTCCCAAACAAGTCTCTAGCCCAACTCACTCCCGCTCTGAGGTGAGATTCTAACCCAATGAAACGCATCCCAGGCACCGGGAAAATCCTCACCGTTTTGCTGATGTCTCCGTCTCACGTCAGACGTCTGGTTCCATCCGCCACGTTGGACAGGATGATGTGAGGCGCATAGATACTCGAGGGAGGCACTTTGCATGTCCAATGAGCCGCTGGGCGTCAGCCGGATATCGCGGAACCAATAGACTGCAAAATAAGTGAAACTGACGAGTACCAGATAAGGGGCCTGTTGAGATACCATGCCGCGAGGGAGGAGCGAAGGGGGAGGACAACAGAGCTTGGCTTCTTGCGAATGACTCCGACGGCAAGAAAGAAGTATCCTGGGTGGACTAAACGGTCCGAGATGAGCAATGGCCAAGCCAGACAGTGAAGTCATTTTAGGGTTGGACAGCAGGCATCGTGGCATCCACTGGGATGCCGGCTCTTTTCGACTCTGTACTCACGGTTCAGACGAAGATGAAGGAGCTCACTAAAAAGAAGAACCCCGCTGCCCCGGATTCGCCCACGGATGGGGATGAGGGATCCAGGCTTTATATCTTATTCTAACCACTTATTGGGATATCGGATGGAAGCCTGATTCCATGGTTCAGGTAAGTGGTATCTGCAAGGCAACCTGGAGTTGTATTGTTCGTCCCAGAAATAGACGGGAAAAGCGGGTGAATCGGCCCAGCGACCGAAGCACCGAAGGAGCCGGTCCGGGTCGGATCCATCATGGGGGCGACGGAGCGTGCTCGGTCCCACGTAAGCTCGAATGGGTAGCACAGATGGGGTTCTTCGGAAAGAGATGACTCGACATCTGCAGTCATGTACACAAGAACACCCCCAAGTGAAACCTTTTACAGCAGTCTACCAGTTGCATGTCTCTGGATGCGAACGGGCAAATCTTGTGCTGAGACGGGAATGTCAGATTGATAAACACAGAAACCAGGGACACGAATTGGCTGGTCCGGGACGGGCGCCGGAGGCCGGGGATTGGTAATCAGGCATATGGGAATCGGGCATGGTGTATCCGTATGTGTTGGCGGGCTTCCGCCAAGGGTGCATCTTTTCCAATTCCCATCCAACCATCCACGTGAAGCCAACCTTATTGGGCGTGTCCCTGGTGTGTAGGGCAGGCCAGGCAGATTTACGACCCGTGCAACCAACCCCAAGACTCGAGATTTACGGTACCTGCACTTTCCACTTTCTCTCTCAACTGTCTTGCCTCACTAAGCATCCTTACCATCCCGGTCTCTAGCGTGAGTCCTAATCTTCTCTAGTCTTCCCCCAAAGGCCATCCTCCTTACATAATCTCTCTCTCACCTGCATCTCTCGTAAATCTGGACGCGGCAATTTGACTGACACGTGCGACGGCAACATTGGCACGAGAAAAGTCGCCGAAAGACAAAGAGCCCCCCATTGGCAACATCCTCATTCCCATCTTATCTCTCTCTATCTCTCTCCACATCAACATAACCCTTAACTCTTACCCGACCAGGCGGGTTCTCGGACCCTTGAGACGGGCATACATCCGTGGTCTAGCACCATTTGTTTTCCTGCCTGTGTCTGCCGTGCCGTTAAGGCCCCCAATGGCGTTGGCCCCCGACTATCTCCTATTTCCGGGTCGAGCAGGCATTGTGGTGAATCAGTGGCTCAAATTTGACTTCGCTCTGACCTTAGACCGCAGCGTCAAGCCACTCGTGATGGCCCTCCCCCCTTGTCCCGTGCCCTGATGGCCGAGTGATTCATGCCATCAGCTTCTGGCGTCCTCAGCTTACTCAAGCAAGTCGTGCCAGCGCCGTTTGCTATTCGCCCATTGTACGAAATCCTCCTTTTTCCTTATTTCTCGTCGGACGCGACGATCCCTCCCGAGCACTGCCATCACGGCTGCCTGCCAGTCGAGATGACTAGCGTGCAGACTCGGATTTCTTGCATGCGGAGACAAGAACAAACAAACAACGATGTTCCATGGCCAACAACCTTACTCGATGAAGACGTTCATCCACCCTCATGTCAGATTCAGGGTCGACTCCACTTCCTGTTGATGAGCGAACGACACCATCTTTTCACTCCTCTAGCCCTAAGCTTAAACAGCCTAAATCATTGTTGTTGACTTATTCCACTCCAAGTTTTATCCTCCGCAAGTCGTCGGATATTGGCCCGCAAAAGTCCGTAGTGCCGGTAGCCAGCAGTCACCGGCAGGCGAAGCGTCACGTACCGAGCGGCGCACACGGCCGCCCTTTACAAATCAAATCAGGCCTCAGCATGCGAGAGAGCTATTCGTCCGAAGTGCGACGAGGCGCTCAGTGCCGTATCTTGTTCTGATGATGTGGCGCGCATCAGACGGACAACAAGCGCAGCCTTATCCGTCTGCAGTCTTACGCCCCCCTAAAAGAGAGTGCCAGTGAAACATCGAGCTATCCCCAAGTGGACGCAAAGTCAACGAACCCAAGGCGCAATCCGCTCGCAAGCGCGCTCCAATTAGTCCACGGATCGACCCCAAAAAGTGCCGTCGGGTCTGACTCCCTCCGCCGCTTAACTCCCTTTCACGCAAACTCCGCCGAGCACCGTTCTTTCTTTGGGCGTCTCGGGGGAATTTGGGATGGATTACCTTATGTCCCACTTCTTTCTTCCACCGAGTCGGCGGAACCGGTACTGCAGCAGCTACCCTGCCCGCAGGAGCCCATCAGGATTATCAGACAGGGGGTTTCTGCCAGCAGGTACCGTAAGATTCCTTGCTGCACGAGACTGGGGACTTGGGTAGGTAGGAGAGCCTCAGAAGAAGGGCAAGGGATGCTACGCGGACTTTTCGGAACATTCCAGATCTACGTCCAGTGAGCCATGTAAGACTGAGATGAGGTGCTGCGCGGCAAGGCAAGGGGGGACTCATACTCACAACCACACATTCACAACACGCGGCACGCGGGCGGAGATTGGATGTCGTGGTTACCAAGCAGCAACGCCCAAGTCTTGCTGGTAGGCGCTCATCAGGCTCTCTCTCATTCTACCTCTCTACATCGGTCTTCGGTGTATACCTGTCGATAGGGCTTACCAATGACGCCGTCCCAACACACCCGGCCAAGACTCACACGCACACACACACCCACACCACATTCGTGTTGTACTGTCGTACCGTCCCGGCCTAACGCATCCTTCGTAAATCGGTTTCCCACCATCCACCGCGCCGGGTCTAACATCCCCATTACCGTTATGCTATTGTAACATGGTACCCAAGGCTTAGGTCTTGCACCATACACGATGAGCCATCGCGTCAAAAGAATGTCTCCGCCGTGTGAGATGGGATGTGCGCAGCGGAGGATTGGCCCGCCGTCAGCTTGTTCTTGTCTGCATCCAGAGAGTGAGCATCCCAAGGTACTTCCGTCTCTTCCCACTACTGTCCCTCGTCCGGGCGCCGGGTTCAACGTCCCCCCAAAGTCCGGTCTAAAATCGGTGCTCTATCTGCTCATGGCGTTTCTTTCGCATACATAAAGCCTCCCGGTCTCCCCCCCGGATTCCCGTCTGGGTCCATCTTGTGGCACGCACTCCAGAGACATTCAACCTTAACCTCGACAAGCTCGACGTCTCTCTCGACCGAGAATCCAACAACTACGGATCGCCATTCACATCGAACTTCAGTACACGCCGAGTATCCATCGAGACTATCGTCGCAATGACGTCCACAACCAGCACTCTGGTAACCCCCCGGGACCGCTCACAGCGAGTGGGAAGTGACAAGGAGGGAGAAACCACCAGCCCATCACCATCAGTCCTCGCCGGGGAGGGCACCGTTGAAAAGAAGGAGGAGGCCGGCACCGGAACCGATGAGGAGGCCGGCGAGGTGCAGCCTCAGGAGCCGACCAACGCCGAGTATCCCTCCGGATTCGCCCTCGGCCTCATCGTCTTCGCCCTCGTTCTCAGCATTTTCCTCATCGCCCTTGATATGACGATTGTCGCAACCGCCATCCCCAAGATTACCGACGAATTCAAGGGTCTCGACCAAGTATCATGGTACGGCGCTGCCTTCTTCATGTGTGTTGCCGCCTTCCAGTCAACATGTAAGTTCCATTGCTTCCAGCAGCATCCCTTCTCCCTGAGTTTCACGATACTAACCATATAACAGGGGGCAAGGCTTACAAGTACTTCCCACTCAAGTGGTCGTTCCTCCTCTCCATCTTCATCTTTGAACTTGGCAGTCTCATCTGCGCCGTCGCCCCGAACTCCGTTGCTCTCATCGTCGGCCGTGCCATTGCAGGTGTAGGCGCGGCAGGTATCGGCTCCGGAGCTTACACGATCATCGGCTTCTCGGCCCCGCCCGACAAACGCCCGACGTTCACCGGCATCATCGGTGCCTCCTACGGCTTGGCTTCAGTCATCGGCCCCTTGATCGGTGGTGCTTTCACTGACCACGTGAGCTGGAGATGGTGCTTCTACATCAACTTGCCCGTTGGAGGTCTCGGCGCGGCCATCATCCTCTTCTTCTTCCACACGCCACCCCAGGCCGTGCCCCAGAAGGCTAGTGCGCTCGAGAAGTTCCTCCAGATGGACCTGATCGGCACCTCCCTGATCATGGGCGGCACCATTGCCTTCCTTCTCGCCCTCCAGTGGGGCGGAAGCACTCACCCGTGGAACTCATCCACCATCATCGGCCTCTTTGTTGGATTCGGGCTGATCATTGTCGCGTTCATCATCCTGGAATGGTACCAGGGTGAGCGTTCCATGATTGCCCCTCGTCTCATCAAGGACAGGACCATCTACATTTCCTCGGCATACGCCTTCTTCTTCGCCGGCTCGTACTTCGTGCTGGTTTACTACCTCCCAATCTACTTCCAGTCTGTCGACAACGCCACTCCCACGGAGTCCGGTGTGCGCAACCTGCCCATCATCATCGCCGTTACCATTGCCACGATTGCATCTGGTATCTCCATCTCTGCCACGGGTATCTACGCACCAATCATGGTTGTCGGCGGCGCCATCGCGACGGTCGGTGCCGGTCTTCTCTACACCTTGGACATCGGCACGGGCAGCGACAAGTGGATCGGCTACCAGGTTCTCGCCGGTCTCGCCTGGGGCGCTGCATTCCAGGTTCCCATCATCGCGGTCCAGGGTACGGTTTCCGAGACCGACATGGCGTCCTCTACTGCCATTCTGCTTTGTAAGTGATCCTTTACATCCCCCAATTGTTCATGGACCTTCATCTAACAACCATCCTAGTCTTCCAAACCGTCGGCGGAGCCTTCTTCGTAGCTGGCGCGCAGTCAGGCTTCCTCGTCACCGTCCTCAAGAAGGTCGCGGTGTACGCCCCCAGCGTTGACCCCAACCTCGTTGCCCTGACCGGCGCCACCGAGATCCGCAACGCCTTCCCGGCCGATGCCGTCCCGGGCATCATCCACGCCTACATGGACGGTCTCAAGGTCACCTTCGCCATTGCCATCGCCGGCGCGGGTGTCTCATTCCTCATCTCCCTGGGTTCAAGATGGGGCAAGCTCAACACCGCGAACCTCTCCGGTGCCGCTTAGAGAAGCGACACGAGCAGGGAGAAAACGTTTTGTGTGTTTTGATAGCTTGCATGTGTTTCCTGTCGTTTACAGATACCAATGTGCCGAATTGTTGGAGGACTTTTATATCTCTCTTAATCATAGACTCCAATGATGGGGGCGCTTCTTGTAAGAGGCGACGGCGTTACTTGGTTGCATTTTCCTGGAATCAGAGGGGGCCCTGAGCGGCATGCCCTATGACAGTCGCTTGGAAGGAACCAGCTCGACTCTTGATGGCTTATGAGAATAATATCTAGATGTAGAGAATACGAGAGGATGACGTACATCAAATATGAAAGTTGCCTCGCGCAAGGACACACTGATGACTTGGCAATGAGACCCAATCATGAGAGAAAAGTATTAGAGAAGGAGAGAAAGGGGCCCTGGGATGAAGGTTGTCGACAGCGACATGCGGCTGAGGCAGGATGCAGTGAAGCAAGGTCGAGTGAGGAGAAGAAAGTGAGAATGAGCGTGTACAAGCAAAGAAGAGGAAAGGGCAATGTTGGAAGCCGCGCGTGGAACTGGAGGGGCGGCCGTTCCCTGTTTCCAAATCTTGCTCGATTTCGACGTACGAAGAAGGTGTAGGCCATCCATCAGCCAAATTACAGAACACACGGTCGGTTGTGGCGTTGTTGTCACGACCAAGAGATAGTCGCGCTCGAATACCCCTTGCCTCATGCAAGTACGAGACTGAAGGCAATCAATATCGAATGACACCGGGGTGCCTCTACTCACCTCCACCCACTTCAACCTACCAACTTCTTTTCTTCCGCAACATTCAGCCCGTGTTCAACTACGAAAGCTTTCCAGCTATTTGACTACAAGGTCAACTTCACGATTACTTTTGAAACCAGACCGCGCTTTTTGGAGTCTAACATTGATCGATTCTCCTCTATCCATCATCCATCTCAATTATCGTTCGACCTTGCCCTCGTCCTCGGTTGTCCTCGCCATTCGAGTGTTACAATACAATATCCCCATCATGTCGCATTTCGAGACCGAATACGACAAAATACTCAAGGAACTTGCCATCAGATGTGACCAAGCCTGGGGCCTTTATGCTCAAGACAAGCTTGACGAAGCCCTTGACCTGGCCGAAAACATACTCCAGGAGGAGCCGGGACTGCCTGCAACTCACAAGGCTGTCTTGCACGTGCTCCTCTCCAAGTCTCAAGACATCAATAAGGCTGTCGAGCATGCTCAAAATGCAGTCAACCGCTACAGGTGGATCATACAGGACAGTAAAGGGGCTTTCACATCCTCGGATCACAGCAAGTTCTTCAATAAAAGGAATCTTAGGCACGCGGAGGAAGACCTCCAGACTCTCATGACACTGTAAGTCATCGAATAATCATCTCTTCTACTCAACAATCTCCTTATACTGACAATTTCTGCAGAAAGAGAGTCAGAATGGACAGTCTCCAGGACAAGCAGGCAAACCTCGATGGCAGTCAAGATGACACCAGCCAAGAAGACGCAGACAGCAAAGAAGACAGCGACAGCCAAGAAGAAAACGGCAGCCAAGAAGACATAGACCTGGCGAACCGAGTGCTCATAAGACTGCGAGCCCCACCGAGAAGTCCCACACCGACTGGTCCGACTGTCAAAACCGAGAACTCTACACCGCCGTGATTGTGCTTACCTCTCTCCGCACCAGCCCGTCCGCATACGACAACACCAGAAAGAAAGAATGACCATGGAAAGAGATAGGAAGACCGCAAGAGATACATTCCAGGCTAGGAAGCAATGAGGTCGTTTGGAAAATATTCATAGAGGCGAGAGCCTGGTCGCACCGACAACAGCCTTACGCTCACCATAGAGTTAAATTGATGACTTACTTAGCTTGTAATTTCTTTCAAGGCATTCAGCGTATAATTATAGTAACATGATCCTCTAACATTTTCTTTCGCAGTCTAACGCCTGGATGCGCACCTTTTTGGCTGCCAGGTTACTCTGACGGGGAAATAAATTGGCTCCGTAGTAGAAGCTCATGCGGCGGTGGAAGCACTGCAGACATCTACGCCCCGGGAACGTACTCGCTGCAGAAAATGAACGACAAGGCTGGTAGCTTTAAGTGTTACAAGAACAAGTCCGCTTCATGTTCCAGAGAGTTGCCGAAGGAATCATGGGGGGGGGGGGGATCTCGGTCTCGCAATGCGGAGTAAGGGCACGCGAATAGTAATGGCCGCGCTTGTTAGTCGAGAAATTTGAGACAAGACGAACGAGGATGGTATCAAAGATTGTAGATAACAGCCCGGCAGTACCACATTTACCATAAAGATCATGCAAAAAGCTCCTGCGTTCTCCGCTTGTTCTCTCCAGAAGCAGACACCCCCGGCACCGGCTCGACTACATACTCAACCTCCTTGTGAATACCCCTCACCGCCCGCAGCTCCGTCTCGCTATCCAGCACCGAGCCATCGCTCTCCCCGCCGTTCAAGCGCTCCCCGCCTCTCTGCCACCTCCTGGACCTCAACGACATGCCCGACCCGCCGATGGTCTGGCCAGCGTACTTGGACGGCGCCTGCCGCGTCGCGTTGCGGTTCTTGCTCAGCAGGAAACGGAACGCGGGCAACGTGGCGACGATGATGCTGACGGTGGACTCGACGTGGCTCCACATGCTCAGGAGCACCGGCCCGTTGGCGACGGTCGTGGGGTCTTTTGCGGTGTCGCTTGTGGCTTTGGTTACTTGCGCGAGGCGGACGAGGGCGAAGGCGATGATGATGGCGCCGAGGGAGAAGAGCACGACGAGGCCGAGTTTGTGGGTGCGGGATGTGGTGAGTTTGCGGAGGAGGTTGAGGGGGAGGATCATGACTGGTTGGCGCGAGTTTGGGTTAGTTGATGAGGAGAGGGATGGTGAGAGGTGGACTGACTGAAGATGTCGGCAGCGATGTCGGCGCTGGTTGCGAACTTGATGGAGGCATCGGCCCGCACGAGGTCTTCTGGGGCACTGCATCCAGCTGGGTTTCCGGAGTGTCAGTGTGCGTCGCTGGTGGTACTTGGGAATCATGCGTGGCTTACTTGTGCTCCAGTACTTGTCCAACGGCGTGCAAGTCAAGAAGTTGGACAGCATGCACGCGAGATACAGCAACAGAACTGCAGTAAAACATACCCACCACGCCCGGATGTAGTTGGGCAACCCGATGATGAGCCGCCGGACGAAAAAGAGGATGGAGAACTTGGCTGTAGCAATTCGGGATCAGCTTCATATAACGAGAGATACCGATAACTCAGAAAATCGCACCTGCCCACAGTGTCGTCCAGAAGAGCAGCATCTGGGAAAACATCATCTTGAGCGACGCAACGGTCCTTGCCATAAACTCGTCCACCGGCAACGGCAGAGGAGTCAAGGGGTCCTTGGCCGCGGCCTTGGTGTACTCCCCAGAGAGATAGAACTGCGGCAACATGCTCGTAATGACAGCGCTCAAAGCCGTCAACGTGACCAGCCCAGCGAAGATGAAGTAGTCATCCGCGTGAAGCCGTCGCTGCAGCATCCACTGAGAGGTACCGCGGAAGATTGTCATGCCAAAGGCGACGAACCACGACACCCAGATGAGGATCTAGAGAGAGTCGCATTAGCACCGCGATATCCGAGCGACCGATGCAACGGAGGGTAAGACGGCTCCCGAAGATCAGCTACCGTGGTACCCGGGCGGGTCTCCGGAGAAGCGGGGGGTCTCAATCGGGTCGTCTTACCATCATCTCGGTGAAGCCAAGCACTTGTGCCGCCATGATGCCAATCAGTCAAGCGCCGTCCGTCTCCCGGCGGCGCAATTCGTGACAAGTGTCGTTCGTTCCACAATGATGTCGGGGCGTGGCGCAGAAAAACGCTCGAAGAGTGCGACGAACCGGACATATACACACACAGAGGAGAGGCCTCTCTACCCTTTGTCCTCCCATTTCGAATCCTCCCCGCTCCGACCTGCTAGATCAAGCTATCTGCGCCGGAACGCCACACGTCTCGTCTCCTGCAGACTCACAGGGACCAGAGAGCAGAAAAGACAAAAGAAAAAAATCCTTCAACGGCGGGTAGACCGGCTGCAATCGAAGAGATCGCAACCGAGGCAGCTGTCACTTTCACACGTTGAAGATGCTAGCCCAAGTCGAGCCGTGGGGGACGGGGGGCATGCAAGGATGTCTTGGTGGTGACCGGGGTCGTCCGCCACCAACACCAGGAAACCTCATCTCGGATCTGCGAGGGATGCAGACAGCGTGCCAATGAGACCGTCGCCAGATGAAGCCACTACTGCAGGTTGCAGCCGACCATGGGCATTCCTTCGCTAACGACATTTTGCTGCAGGTCCATGGGGACCCTGGACCGTCCCGGTGAGGTTTAATATATTCGTTCGCCACGAAGGGCAGGACGTGGGAAAACCCAGAATGAGAGATAAATCTGCTCCTGCAACCATTGCAAATCTGTGGCTTTCGTGAAGTGAATCCTCCCTGCCAAGTCTGTCCCGTCGATTCTGCAGCCATGGTTCGCGTGTCAGTTTTCGCGGCCGCTTTTGCGGCTTGCGCTTCGTTTCGCGGCGCCACAGCCGTTGAGACGGCTGCCACGACTTCAGCCGTTGTCGCTAGCCTGCCCGGCTCCGAGAAGATTGCCTGCTCGGTGCTGAGCAAGAAGTACCCCGCCCAGACATTCTTCAACGGTTCCGATGGATATACCTACGAGACACAGACACGGTATTGGTCGGCCGCGGCCTACAACAGCCCGGCATGCGTTTTCGTCCCTCAGAATGCACAACAGGTCTCTTTCGCCGTCACGACTCTGACGTTGAGCTTGACCAAGTTCGCGGTCCGCAGCGGCGGACACATGCCGGTCGTGGGCTACAACAGCATTGGATCCTCGGGCGTTCTGCTGTCGACCTCGAACCTCACTACGCTCGCCGTGTCTGATGACAAGGCGACCGTTTCCGTGGGCGCCGGACACAGGTGGAGAGACGTGTACTCCTACCTCCAGCCCTACGGCCTGGCGGTGGTCGGGGGTCGCATCGGCGGCGTCGGCGTCTCGGGCCTGCTTCTCGGCGGCGGCATCTCGTTCTATTCGAACCAGTACGGCTTCGCGGCCGACAACGTCGTGCGCTACCAGGCAGTCTTGGCCAGCGGTCTCGTCGTCGAAGCCACGGCGGCCAACGCGTACTCGGACCTGTACTGGGCTCTCAAGGGCGGCGGCAACTCCTTCGCCATCGTCACCCGCTTCGACCTCAAGACCGTCAAGTCGCCCAAGGTCTGGGTCGGCATCTCACAATACGCCCAGAACGACAGCGCAAAGTACCTCGATGCCGTGTACAACTTTGGCAAGTATGGATCCGCAGACGGCAAGGCGGCCATCATCCCGACGATCCTGACCTATCCGTCGTATAACATTACCGCGTACGCCGCGGCGAGGTTCTACGACTCCGAGACTGCGCTTGCCACGGCGTTTGAGAACTTCACCTCGCCTACCCTGACGCCTGTGGCCGATTCCTATGCGTTGCAGCCCCTCGCGGAGTACGTCAGCGCGGTTGATGCTCTTCAGCCCACTGGACTTCGCCAAGAGCAAGTTGCCCCTCAGAGAATGACAAGAAAACCAGGCTAACACGTCCACACAGATTCCGCGTCTTGTCGCTGGTCGTCAACCGCGAGGCCGTCGACCTCGTCCACGACTCTTTCATCGCGGCCGCCACGTCCAAGCTCTCACCCATAATTGGTCTGTCAGCGTCAATCACCTTCCAGCCCATCACCAAGGAGTTCATCGAGCAGGGAATCAGCCGCGGCGGACCCAACCCGCAGGGCGTGGACCCTGCCAAGGCGCCGTACTTCTGGGTCGTCGAGAACCTGTCCTGGCAAGATGCCAAGGACGACGCAGCAGCGCGTAGTTTCGCAGAGACCGTTACTGCTGATATTGAAGCTGCTCTCGAGGCCAAGGGCGTGTCTGGTGGGTATCTGTACCTGAACGACGCGGGCAAGGGCCAGCGCATCTTCCAGACTTATCCAGCTGCGAACCTCGCGAGACTCAAAGCCGTTCGAACAAAGTACGACCCACTAAGGATTTATACCAATCTTCTTGTTGGCGGCTGGAAGGTCCTGGATGCTTGAGGAACCAGCGCATGGTGTATATGGAATGAGGTACATGTCCGTCAGTTGATATTGACCTGCAAATATTTCACGGTGTTGCCTGTACATGTCCAGCTTAACGTAATATGTCGTTGTAATCAATAATGAAGAGACCTACCTCTCTAAAGTTGCTCGCGGCCCCTCTCGTTCGTTCGGAAAGACAAAACGTCCCAGCCATCTTCATGTCGTCGCATCAATACATGTTTGCAGAGAGGTTTTGGGTCGCTGCTAATTGACCTTTTGAACTCCATTTTATTCAAATTCGCTCTAAATATCAGTAATATGCCATGCCATCTATGCGCCAGTAACCTTCACACTGCCATCCTCCATACCAAAGTACGCCGCAACCGGCTTCTGCGCGAGACCGAACTTGCCGGCCTGGGCCGCCTGCAGCCCGTTGAGGCCGTGGAAGATGCCGATCTCCACAATGCCGGGGATCAGCAGAAGCTCCTTGGCCAGCGCCGAGACCTCCCACGCGCCAGCGGCGTTGCGGCTGGCGCCGGCCTCGACGTCCGAGGGCAGGAGGAGCTGGGGGAACGGCGCGTCGATGATCCACATGCCGTTGTCGGTGACGGCCTCGCCGGCCTTGGCGGGCAGACCCGGACGGACGATGGGCTTGATGGAGCCGAGGTCCGTGAGACGGTCCAGGACATCCGGGGCGGACATGGGGAGGACCTCGATGGGGATGGCCTTCCAGTTGGTGAGTAGCCTCTGAGAGAGCTTGCGGTAGTCTGCGGATTCTCGTCAGCTCGTCTGCGTTCACACTTTTTCGCTCGGACCTCCACCCGAGGCGTTTCCCGTAAAAGACTCACCAGCAACAACGACAAACTTCTTGGCGGCAATGGCGACAAGCTTCTCCTGCAACAAGCAGGCACCGCCGCCCTTGATGCAGTTCAGGTCCGCGTCGACCTCGTCCGCACCGTCAAACGCAACATCCAGGGCGACGAGCTTGCCGTCGGGGCCAAGTGGCCTCTCGTCGAGGTTGCACAGACGCAGGCCGGCGGCGCGGATGAGGCCCTTGGACTGGCTGCCGGTGGGGAAGAAGGTCATATTGGACCAGAAGGAGGGGCCCTTTGCGGCGATGGCGTCGACGACGTACACGACGGTGCTGCCGGAGCCGATGCCGACAAAGCGGGCCGACGCGTCGAGGTGCTCATCGACAGCGCGGTAGGCGGCGGCCTTCTTGGCCGACTCGACGAGGGATACTGCGGAGGACATGGCGCGGGCGTAGTAGAGTCTTGGTGTGACGGTGGTGCGTGTGCGGGGTGGTGAAAAGGGTGAGAGGAGTGGTGAAGTTGTACAAGAAGAAGACTGGCGGAGGGACGAGAAGGTTGATCTTATTAATAAAGATGCTCTGCTGCAGGAGGTGAACATGGGGTCGGCCAGAAGAAGAGGCTTTGACAGGATGGGGTGGTGGTGTTAGAGTGGGATGAGCCATAAAGCTTTCTCCGGTTGCCGGGCTTACTCATGAATCGCGACGGACAGTGGATTCCGACACGGGTGTCGACGGCTGGTCGCAGATGGCAGCTGCATCTACTTCCGGTACCTCGAGACGAGGACGGTGAGATGTTGCGCCATGGCTGGGCTGGATGCTTTGAAATTTGGGAGCCAATTGGCTTTATCGACCGTTAAGTAACCCATTATATCAGCTGGTTGGCGTTGTGGGAAAGGCTGAAGCCGTTTCTACCTCCAATTGAGCGCGTCCTCGGTAAGCCTCGGTCAGTCCCTCCTTCACCGAGCACCCCGCCTACACCGACCGCGGGGCATTTTCTCAGATGCCAGGACCACTTCTTCACCCCACCTATGACGTATCTGGCGACTTTTCCAGGGACGAAAAACCCACCGTTGTCATGCCCGTCACCTTCCGAGATCGTCTCAGGACGGAAGCGCCGAATCAGACCGAGAGCTCGGCGGGCCAGTGAGCGTTCCGGGAGCCACCGGCGTGCTTCCGGTGGACCTCCGGTGGATCAGGGAAAAGTTTGTATGTGAGATGTTATCAGGGAAATCCCTCGCGCCCATCGCGGCAAGTAAGAAACTTGGCTGTTTACCGACGTCACTTGTTCAGTCTACACAGGACATGCCGCTAGCCAATTGATGGGCCAATGATTGTAAACTGGCTAGGGACGCATCGACTTGGAGAGGTTCAGACACACCTGTCAGTCGCGCATTGACTTGCATGGCGGCTAAGAATAAGACGACAATCCGATTAATGCTATCTTGATAAAGAGTGCGTTTTTGTAGTAGACCACCAAACACCGAATGAGACTGCTATACCGTAATAACAAGGCCCCGAGTGTCATTAGGACAAACAGATGCGATATGGGCAAGAATCTCGCTCGCCGCAACCTGAGGCGACAAATGAGACACGTCGATCCGTAATCGATGAGGATGTCCATCAAAGTCGTACAAGTCTTCGCCAGCCCGGAACAGTTTCAAGAGCTCAGTGTCAATCAACTTCCCTTCCGCCTGTCGGCCACCTTCGATCAGTCGGCCCAAGTTGGTCTGTTCGTCGCAATCTAGCGTAATGGGGATAAATTCGCAACCTCGTCTATCGGCACAGTCCTTATACTCCTGACAGACAGCTGATCCTGCTTCGTTGGCCGTCTGTGCGTCTGTGAAGATGTAGAGCGTTGAGTAGGTGGATGGCCCATGAATGAGCGACTCAAAAATCGCCGAGCGGATGCGGCGACGGAGATCTTGATAGCCCGGCTGGTCCCGGCTCAATACGGCCTCTGCAGGGTTTATGAGGAGGTGGTTATGCACCAGCTTAATTTTATCGCTGGCGGTGTCGAGAACTTTACCAACAGTCAGCTTGCCTGTTCCTGGGAAGCCGTTGATATAAACCATCGGGCGAGGTTTTGACGGAATGGTCATTATGAAATTCAATATGATCTTTGAACGGGTGGTAATAGCGATTAACTAAATGAATCAACGACTCAAAAGTAATTATCAGGAAAACAGTTTTATGTGTGAATTTTATGAGGCACAACGGCAAGTCAGCTCCGACGTTATGAGTCACGCTTCACATATGACTCCTATTCACGATTGTACTAAGTCCGAAATCACCCTAACGCCAGAAAATAATAACTGATCTAGTCTGCACGGTCACCAAAACGGTAACGTTTGATGAGCTTCGGTTTGTGGATGGCTATAAGGCGGCGCTGGTAACCATGTACCCATCGAAGCTTAACGGAGACACCATCAACGTTATTCGGTTCTCGGCTCAGTTGCAAGAGATGATGCAGAACATGCTGGCAGACACATACTAGGAAACCCAGCAGTAAGAGACTAGTCACCCTTGTCGTCTTACGAACACACACACAAGCCACATGTTCCTCAGCAGCCACCAGGGTATGTCAACAAGCATATCCTCCTGTGGCTTTACCGGACATACGTGCAGAAGGATCTTCTCAGGGTCCCTGGCCATGTTTCCTCTTTAAACATTGCTAAGATTCCCCGTCTTTTGCTTGCTTTTTTCGGGTTCTCGGGGGCCACGAGGTCTCGATGTCAACAGACGCGGAAGCTTGAGCTGTGATTCCTTCTCGCACGTGGTAACAGTCGCCGACTCGCCTAAACTGTCGGTGGAATGTCAGGACTGGTAATTTCATACTGATTCATTTCATCTGTCAAAATTCCAACACGCTGGATGACAGACCACCCGAACATTCGGCACGTCTCCGCTTCCATGGATCATGCACGGTCGTTTCGGTTATCTATACATCTCATGATCCTTTCGTTCCATTTCTAAACCGGTGGCCTGGCGGACTCGACTATTGCGCTTCTCGAATCGGATTCGAGAGAAGACGAGCAACAGTGACATCGTCTGCCCAAACTGATGAACCCTTCAGGACTTCGGCCAGGAGCACAGGGACGAACTGCGAGTCGCACATCCCCCAAGAACCAGTCTCCAGAACTCAAGATGCGACTCTGCATCGCGCAGCCATGTCGCACCACCCCTGGCCAGTCGATATGCCAGGAATCTTATCTCACATGAGGCAGGCACGGTCAAATACGACCCTGTTCTACGTTTGTCCATGGAGGTGTTGCTGAGGATGACACTCTGCTCTCCTTCACCCTTGTCTAGAGCCAACGGCGCGACAGCGTTGCTAGTCCTGCGCGTGGTACCAGCACCCCAGCGGTGATCTTGCATGTTTGTTTCCCTGAAACTAGTTTCTACAGCAGCTAGATTAAGCCAGATGCCCTTACGTCTGCGTAGATGTGCAACATCGATCAACAGCACCAGCGCGGATCATCGATGTGGGGGATATTCACTATGATGACACCGGGACGAGAGCAGGCCGTCCTTATCCGCAGCTATAATTGATGTGACCACTTGACTGTCATAAACTCAAGAACATTTCTGGTCTTCAACATGAACCTGATGCAGTGTGGCGCTCCGGCGCCGGTCTAGCCAGACAGAAGCGACAAGGGGAATCAACGGGAAGAACCCAGCCGGGCAGGGCTATCAGCTTGGCTATCACTGCAAACAAAACACTTATAGTATAGGCCACGCCTGTGGAAGAATACTCGCTGCTCTCGGCCGGTGTCTCTATCGACCACATATTAAACTTAGTTCGGCGGAGAAGGAGAGGCCTCCTCCGCTGATGATCGACCGGAACGTGTTTATCGGCGGGGTACATGACACGCGCCATAGCCGCTCTCGCCGTCGTCGTCGTGATCATGGCATTGCTTCAACCGTCAAGGTGGGCAGTTTCGAGGAGGCCTAGATTGACAAAGTGACGTTGGCGAGCCCGGCCGATCATGGCAAGGAAGGGTGACGATCCAGTGAACACGGAGGAAGAAACCCCCACCGAACGTCTCGAGTCATGCAGCTGAGCGTGGCTGAGGTCGATTCTCATGAGCGAATCGCATCTCGCCGTTCCCCTGAAGAGAACCACTTTTATCCGTCTGGGACACTTGACGGGCCTGTCGTCCAGCCTTACGGAATTGGCTTCCAGGTGTCAGAGAAAGGCCAAGGGGGC